CCTCCCCCTCCCCCTTCCCCTTCCCCCTCCTCCTTCCCCTCCCCCTCTCTGATCCTACCTGCCCTCCCCCTCCCCCTCCCCCTTGGTCCCTGCTTCACACCAGCCTGACGTTGCAGCGCCATGACGTACTCTCCAAAGCATACAATTTTTCCAGCATACCTCCGATGCGAGCTCAAATGGAGTTGCTTGTAGTGCTCGATGTGTTGCAAACCAGCCAGGCCGCGTGCAAGTACCCAGGACCGAAGTGGATGGCTGCCTTCTAGTGAAATTAGGCACTTGTCCTCAGCCCTTCATCAGGCAGGATGCCTGTTTCTGAAGGGTCTGAATGGCGCGTTCCACTTGACTGGTTTGTGTTTTCTTTTCAGAGTTTGTGATAGTTGTTTGAAGTCCAAGGCTATGACGAATGGTCTGGATGTAGCTCAGCAAGTTCTTCATGGTGGGCTCATTGTCTCCAATGAATTCGACATTGCCACATTGGTTCAACATCAAAGTAAACCGCACCACATGCTCAGCTTGGCCTCGAAGATCAGTGCCTTTACCTTCAACGGGTATGGCGAGCAGCGTGCGAGCTTCAGAGCCCACGCCCACCAGAGCTGTGCTGTGGTAAGGTCAGCCTTGCTGTTTCCCCCAGAGCGATGAGCGACCATAGGCATAGTCGAGTTGCGCCCAAAAGATACTCCGTCTCTCTTCCACTGACTGGTCCACAACACGTTGATGGTCATCACGAGCTTTCGTGGCAATGCAAAAATCGGACCAGTCTCGATAAGGAAGGTGTGTCAACTCATGCAGCTCTCGTTCTTCCTTGCTCGGCTGACGAGGGATGCTCACCTGGCAATCTGGCACCATGTTTTTGAAGGGGAAGTTCACCTTGGTCTCCTCCTCGTCCAAGATGTTGTACCAAGAAGGCCGGTGTCAAACTGCGCATGGTGATGTGCCCTCAAATGTCTGACAAAAGGAATGCCAGACCAGGTGGCAGACAGAATGCTTCAAACAATGTCAGGAAACACACAAGAAAAACGAAGAGCGCAAGGCATAGGGCAGAAAAAATGCTAGATAAAGTGGCGGAATTTTATAATTCCAGAATGCATGCCAAGAAACAAGGTAATGGCTGAAAAATGCCGGACAAATCCCAGAACCGATGCCAGATGTACATACCAGCTCACATCGCACAGAAATGTACAGTCGCCAGGCAACCCCCAAAACTGATGTCAGAACACGCACCAGGACACATGCCAGAACACTGGTCACACAGATGTCCAAGGACATGCCAGAGCACATCTCAAAACACATGTCGGGATTTTTTTGACAAATAGGGGACAGTGACAGATGGCAAGACACTTGACGCATGTCAGTCTTGAGGTAGATTGCGTGCCAGAGCACGCCACAACACATATCATTACATGTGTCGGAACACACATAATAATGACATAGAAACGTGAAGGTGGGGGGCATATGCCAGTATGGCGGAACAATTGTCAGAACATAAATCCAAAAAGGATGTCAGACTTCATGCCCAAACACCTTCCAACATTTATGCTAGATGATGTGCCAGCACACATGCCAGACTTAATGCCAGTGCAAATCTCGGAACAGTGTGTCGGTGCACGCCGGCCTTTGTCAAGAGAGTTTGTCAATATATGTGCCCGGTGCTCTTCCAAATTGAGTTTCAGCGTGGGGATCACGCGAAGTAAAATTGTTTTAGGCCCCGTGCTCCAGTGGTGGGTGGTTGATTGCCATATTGCTGCCTGGAGGTCCTCATGAAGCATTTCCCCCAAACATGGGTGGCTGAGAAAGACCGGGCAGGCCATGTGAACCACATTTTTTGCTGCAGTGTTGTTGGTGCAGCTGTTTTCACATTGCGAGGCTTAATTAGGCCTCACAGGCTGATGCTCAGGTTTGCCAGCTCGCATCCAAAAGATTTTGTCTCGGTTTGGCGCGCTGCTTGGTGAACCTGAAATCTTTGATGGGCGTGGTGGTGATGATGTCACTGCAATTGCGTGCTTTGAGACCCAACAAGCGGCGGAGGCCAGGTGTGGTGCAAAAGAGCTAAATCAACAACTTCAGACGAAGTACGTCCGACGGGTGCTGTATTTTGCTTTCCCTTGGGGGGTTTGGTGAACACGAGGGGTATCATAGGGTTCTGTCCACAGGTTGGCATGGGATGAATATACAGCTGGCTGTTGCAACTGGCAAATTTTGCGTATTCTTATGTATTCTTGGACCAGTTTGATGAAACCAGTTTAAATTTGACGGCAAAACAAACGTATACGGCAATAAGTTTTGCACATCCTTCCCTGGCAGTAGGCTGCGGTCAAGACCCTTCTTGGAGCAGACATGCGGACGTCAGCAGAGAAAAAGGTAGGCGAGTAAAACCAACATGTTGAACATTCTGCACGCCTGAAATTGAATTTTCGGCTGACTGTGGACTTGAGGCAACTGGAAACCGTCCACCTTTAGAATCTGAACGATTTTGGGTGGAAATCCAGCCAGTCACCAGGCTGCAGTAGGTCAATCAATAAGGTTGGAAAAATTTGTGTTCATTGAGTTGGAGACCTTAGGCCAAGACATTCTCCACAGCAGTGCCGCCAAGAGCACAGCCTTTGCAAGCACTGGGCACAGAGTTGCCTGAGCCTGCCACTTGGCTGGCATTCAATGTTAGAAGTTAGGTTCCATGTGTAGACCAAATAGTTCGAGAGCTGTGGTGAGGCAATCCCAGACGAGTCCTACATTCTGGTAAGGGGTTTCCCCATGACGTGGATGGAGCCGCAGGCACGTCCGTTTCCTTCGTTCTACGCCATACAGCCAGAGACACGCTTGCAGAGGTCAAGTATTTGTTCGTGGTCTTTGGTGGGACCTCCTCGGTGCGCATGGTGCCAGACGCAGAGTTTGGCCATGCTGCCCGGGTCATTTTGAAGGATCAGCGTGAAATCGTGTCCAACACTTGTGACATTAAGATGATGCCCTTGCTGCCTGTATTCTGCTTGATCCTTGGTGTATGCATATTTTTTTTTCATCGCTCAAGATCCCTCGGTTTTTGGCAGGATATTGGCGCCATGGAGAGAGCAGCAACATCTCTGAATCAGACTGATGTTGGACATTTGGCGGGCATTTCCCATGCGTGAATAACGTCAAAAGTCTTTACAAAACAAGCATCCGACCAGTGATTGTCTGATTGTCAAACAGTATGGTGTGGCAAAGTCACAAGCTCGTTCACCGTTTCTGTGGCGCAAAGCCTCGATGCATTTGAGGAGATGGCCTTCATCTCAGTTGAAACCGCGTTTCTTTGGGTGCTTGACCGGCCGGAATGTTTATTGCGGCAGCTGAGGTGATATGATTCAAGAGTGCCATATCTATTGTGAGCACGTTCCTGGACGACTTGAGCGTCAGCGTCGAGCCGAGGCACAAGCCTGGAGCTGTTCAAAGCACAGGATGCCAAGTGAGCTGAATTAGGTAATAAAGAAGGTGTGGACTCCAGAATGCGAACAAGTTTCTGCCCTCATTCCGATTCCGTTTATTCTTGCGGCTTTGCTTGGCCTTCGCGTAAATCCAGGCAGTAAGTAACAGATAGATTGATAGATAGAGTGATAGAGTCATACAGATCGTTCTTCATTTTGTTTGGTGGAAGGCTTTGTCTTGTGTCGCTTGCCTCCATTTGTTTTTGCATACTTGATGCTTGCTTGGATTCAGGAGTGCAGCTGACGCATTGAACATGACTAGCAGCTAGCATCCCTACTAACACTGCAACAAATTCATTTTTGGTCGAATTGCATTTCCCAAGTTAGACATCGCACCAAGATGCTATGGCCCAGCATGTGGGCGTTATTTTTTGGAACAGCAGCGCAAGTAGCACCGCCAAATCTCTTTCCCAAGATCGCGATTGCTGTTGGGTTTCTTACTTCAGCTGTTGCAAGAGGTGCCAGTGGGGGATGCACAACGCTTGGCCGTAGCTTTGTACGTATGGATGAGTGCAGGCCACGCCACTAACGCGACATCAGTGAGTGAGCGAAATGACCCATCTAATACAACATATATAAACGTTGCCACTACCGCCGCATCACTCACAGGATGCAACCGCCTTCAAAAGGCTCACCTAGAAGCCTGAGATGTTGCGTAATGGGAAGGAACGTATGGCGATTGCAGAAGCTTGGTTGGTGTCAGGGACCCAGACAAATGGTAGTGAACACCCGGGCATGGCGGGACCGAAACGGTTCCTGAAGCTGCTTAGGTGAGCCTTGGCAGAGCTACCTCTAACACACAATACAAAAACAACGACGCCATGTGCCCACAGAAGGCGGAAACTCGCAACCACTGCGATGCACCACTTGGTAGACAGATTGGTATCGTCCCTCGGTAGGGGTGGGGCATACCTGCGTGTGCGGATGTTTGTGATGTAAGTTTGCTACTGCTGTATACATTTGTTCCGCCTTTTGGTTTCCACTCTGTTAAGAAGTCATATAGGAGGCCACAGCTGCAGCTGCAGCTGAGAAGCAGCGACGACGCGAAGAGAAAGAAGAACGTCGCAGACAGAAGGAGGATGGGAAGTGTCACACCGTATTCTTCCATTGTGCCACGACATGTCAGCCGTTCAAAGAGTCACTCCAATTGAATTTGAAGGATTTGGGCGGGAATGGGTTGGAGAGCTTGCAGGAACGGCGGCGAAGACATGCAGAAGAAAAGGAAAGGCTGCGGGAAGAGCAGGAACGTCAGAGAATAGAAGCTGAGGAAGAGGAGCGACGTAGACAAGAGGAGGAGCGCTTACGTGAAGCAGAGGAGGAAGAGCGCTTGCGCAAGCAGGTTGAAGAAGAGGAAGAACAGTTAAGAAGAGAGGCGGAAGAAGAGGAGGAGAGGCTGCGCCAAGAAGAGGAAGAAGAGGAGCGCCTGAGAAGGGAAGCTGAGGAGCTGCAACAGCTGAGGCGAGAGGCAGAGGAGCGATTTGTTCGTGGAAGTTGCTTGGGTTGCTAATCTCTTGAGTTTGCATGATGGGATTGTCTTGCAGGAGCGCAAGAGAAAGCGCCTCCTTGCTGAGCAGCAGGTGGGATTGGACTCGTTTTGCATTTGGCTTGGATGTGAGTACCTGGTTCAAAAACTTGACACATGTTGCCAATGCACCTCCCAAAGTGCATTGACCTGTTCCTTTGTCAAAGATCTATATACCCTCACGCCACTTGATGCAAATGGACGGTTGGCACTGATAATAAGTGCCAACCGGCAATGGAACGCACCTTTGGGTTTCTATGTTGAATTGGCCTCTTGGGTCAGACCCAGCCTCTGTTCTTGATGTTTTCTGCTTTTTTGGGTGGATGACTCGAAGACTACTGTAGTAGGAATGAATAATCAGTTTCTCAGCTGTACACTTTCAAGCGGCGGTTCTTTGGCCTTACACAGGCGCGTGCAATGCGCGAGTTGGAGGAACAAAGAGAATTGGAAGAGCAGCGGCAGAAGGAGGTTGGAACTCCGAGCTGGTTACTGTACTAATTGCGGCGCTTTTGCCTTTGCAGCGTCATTTGGGCAGGCGGAGGAGAGGCGTAGACAAGAGGAGGAGCGCTTACGTGAAGCAGAGGAGGAAGAGCGCTTACGCAAGCAGGTTGAAGAAGAGGAAGAACAGCTAAGAAGAGAGGCGGAGGCGGAAGAAGAGGAGGAGAGGCTGCGCCAAAATGAAGCAGAAAAGCAAAGAATGAGGGAGGAGGACGAGGAGCGGTTGCAGCTTCAAAGGCACAAGAAATGGGAAGCTTTGCAAGCACAGGAGGACAGTTGAAGCTTTTCCTTTTTGGCTATGCTGAATGTACTGTAGCTGGAACGCGTGATGTAGCAAGCCAATTGTTGTTGTTTTGTGCCCGGTGTATGCAGTGTTGAAGGTGCAAATCACACGATGTTGCTGCAGCAGTTTCAATCCTAGGATAATGTAAAGAAGAAGGTACACACACACACACATATATATATATATATTTATAGATTGCGTTTGCATTTGCGTACAGTATGCATCATCCGCACGTTCATCCTAATGAATCCTAGATTTTGCTCAATTAGGACCAGCAGGCACACCAGACAGAGCGACTTTGAGTTGCATAGAGTCGAGGGAAAAGACTTAACCCAACAAAGACGACGAGTAGGTCATACTGCTAGTAGGCGCTGTTCCATGCTGCAATGCCTTGACTGACGACCTCATAGTAAGATAGATTCAGCAGCCAAGGTCGCGGTCAAGCATTCAAAGCGAAAAAGGTCATGAACATTCGACGAGTGCCTGGTTTTCCAATTTTGGCCTGAAGCGACATTCATACAGTCTTCAAGAGTTTAGCAGTTTGCTTTTTGTTATTGTGTGCCCTTTAAGGTGTTCGTCGAAGGAGGCGGCGCAGCCATTCCAACCGGACGCATCGCAAGGACCGGCGGCGGAGACGGACGTCAAGGTCGAGAAGCCACTCGGCAAATCAAAGTGCTTCATTGCCACTTTGTTTTGGAATTGGAAGCTGAACTTGAGGCAGTTCAAGCAAATTGAAGTTGAAATTCATCTCTTGGAGTCAGGCCAATCCCAGCATCGCAAACGGCGCAGAGGCATTGGGTACGGGATGCGTGCAGAGAATGATGCAGCCAAGAGCTCATGAGCTGTCTCTGAGACGTGTGTGCTGAAACAATCCAAATGTGTGGGCAAACATAGATACTGTACACGTTTCTTCTCTGAAGTGTAGTGTGATGCCAAACGTTCACAAGCTGCTTTGAAGCGGAGGCCTTTGTTTGATGAACTGACAGGTCGAAAGAGAAGCGAAAAGAGCCATAGTTGGGAACAAGATGTCAGATACTGATCCAACGTGTCGTGCTTTGTGCTTCCCATGTGGCATACATGCCTATTGTCGCATTGGGTAGGTGCATTGTTGGACATGCTTTGATCCAAATGGTAGACCCGTGGCAGAACATCCGAGGACGCACATCTCCAAGAGATTGCTCCGCGAGCTTGTATTCCCAATGGGCAAGCCAAAGATGAGGTGCTCGAACATGCACGTAATGATCATGCCGATGCACCTATGGCCAACACTGTCCGCGACTTATTGCCGCCCTTGGCGGCAACCTGGTTAATCATTGTCACCGGCACGTCTGGATTTTGCATGTCAGAGCGCAAAGTGAGGACTTCTCCGAGTGGCATTCCGGCATGGTTGAGGCCCAGTCCAGCCAGGGAGCACAAGATTACCGGCCTCAAGATGTAGCTCAGCCCAGCTCTTTGGATGCATCAAGTGCCTTTGAAGAATAACTTCTCCTTGCTCCCAACTAGGTTGGCTCCCCGCTGAACTCATGATGCCGACATTTCAAGCTATCCCGATGCAGTGGCCGGGGTCACCAGCACTAGCACCAACAGCGCCCAAAGTGCCACCACCGCAAGCACCACAACAAGCATCACCACCAGCAGAAGGACAAATGGGACAAGTGGGACAATCGACAACAGCAGTGCCAGGTCTACCAGTGTCAGGTCTGGCACCACCTGTACCATCCCGACCGGCCATGGAGACAGCGCCAGAACAAAAACCAACACCTTCACTACCTTCAGGACCTTCAGCACCTTCGGCACCTGCCAAAGCCAGAGGCGCCTTGTGGCGAGTTCTTACGTATTTCGGAAAATGAGTTATATTATATAATCTTTAGCCATGCCAGGATCTGCCGTGAACTGCCAAAACAACCCCCTAGATACCAGTACCTTGGTTTCAACACGAAGCTAGGCGTATACTGTGCATATTTATATAAATATAGCTAATTGTGCAGCTTAGGCTGGTCTTCACTGCACTTTTCCAAAACCTGCTATTTTTTTAAGTTTGGGACTGTTGCCACAAAGTGGTCAGGTTTCGATGTTGTTTTGATGGTGCCGGTCATGCTATTATGTGACAACCGACGCATTATCCAGCGAGCAGATACTGCGCATTGGATTTTGTTTGCTACTGAGGTTGGTGGCTTAATGCGCATTTGTTGCCGTACACTTTTCTTATCCTTCCCGTGACGTTTTAGGCAGACCTGCCACTGTCTGAATGTCACAGGCAAGTTTTCTATGGCCTGGGGAACGGTGCCGAGCCAGACAAATGCTGCGGCTCCTAGTCCCGTGAACTTATACCAGCAGTGGCTTGGCAGAACCCATTCCACCCATCACTATTTGTCCAGCTGGATCTTCTAGGTCGACGTCTCCTCATTTGCTAAGCAGTCAAACACCCACCGCTAGATGGAAATGCTCATCAGGGGTTTTGACCAACGTGTCCACACACATTAAAACAACATACTGCAAAAACAAAATGCTGTTGACCGTTGTCAAATCATAAAAATTGCTTTCACTCACCCAAGGCAACTCCAGCAGTGGCAGCAGCAGCAGCAACAAGTGCAGGACAGCAGACGGCTTAATTGAAATTACTGCGCTGAGGGGGGTGGCAGGGCAAACACAGGTGAGTCAATCATACAGAAAACCCAAAAGCGGTCCTCAGCAGGTCCAGCTTTGTGTAGCGAAGGGGCAGCTGCTTTCCTAGATCCTAGATGGATCAGATAGGCTGATGGATAACAAATGCTAGGAGCTTCACCGGCTGGAGCAAGAAAGGCAGAAAAGGCTGGAGGAGGAGCTGAGGATCGAATTGCAACAGCAGTTGCAGAAGTACCTTTGCACGAAATAGTTTCTGTGGAGACTCCGCCTACACTTACACTTTGCACAGCTCTGTTCTGAGGGAAGCAGAGGAGAAAGCCAGGAAAGAGAGGGAAGCAGAAGAGCGGCTCAGAGCTGAAGAGGACTTGCGGAGGCAGCAAGAGAGACAGAGGAGGGAGGAGTTGGATCGACAAAGAGAAGCAGAGGAGGCAAGGCGGCAGCCTGTATAGAAACATATATATATGCGAATGAAAGTGCAGCGACATGTACAGTGCAACATGTACATATATATGTATACCATATGTACTTTGGCTCAAGGATCAAGCGACTAGAAAAGGTGCGGTTTCCGTTCCGACGCTACGCCGCTTATGGACCGTCAGTGATAGCTTCAAACTTCGCTGATTAAGATCCACTCGCAGGTTATCAGCCTTACGCGCTCTTTATAGCCGTACGAGCTACACGAGACCAAGAACAAGACTAGTCATTACAGAAACCTGCAATGTCAAGCTCAGGAGGAAATGGAAGCGAACCCTATTCATTCGCTGCTCCTGGTGGTCCCAACACCATTTCGTCACCAGACTCTACAATGGGTACTGATTCATCAGCCAATGCTGACGTTATCACTATGCCTACTGGATCACAAATCTCGGAAAGATCCGTGCCACCGGCTCGGAATCTGACCGATCTTGCACCCGTAGGACCAAGAAGAACGATGAGAGCTACAACAAGATCTACATCGCCTATAACGTCTACCGCGAGGTCCCCAAGAAGGAGTATAGAGAAGAGACGTGACGATGATAGAGGAACAAAAGAGCAAAGAAGAGAGATTCAGCTGGGTGAAGAATTGAGATCGGCGAGAAACGCATACAATTTTCCTTCATGAAGAATATGAATGCATCCAAGCCGGGTACTCACGACTACACCACGAGGCTGGAGTGGAGTTCAGGCAAATGTCTGACTACAACAGGAAGATGCAGGAACATCTACAGGAGATGACACAGGAAGATGAAGGAGCAACAATAAGAATTGAAGAGCTCGAACACAAGCTACGTTTGGCGGAATCGACAGCTGAACATATCTACATGAGATATCAAGAGCTTGCACAAGAAACTCATCAAGAACATTCAGAGCTTGAATCTGTGAAAGCCACGAAGGACAGAATGTCCCAAGAGCTTCAAGCAGCAATTGGACACATCCAAGAACAGAATGAATCTTCATTGGCGATCAATAGAAGATCAAAAGCCATTCAGGATGAGAACACAGCCTTCGTCGGAATAGCTGACCAGATACAAGCTAGAATGATTGCGCTACAGGATGAGAATGTCAATATGCACGAGGTGATCCAACACCAGAGAGAAGAACAATGGAATAGTGAGGTCAGGGAAAGACGTCTTCAACACAGTGTTCACTCATCTCAAGATCAGAGCAATCAGGAGGCTATGGTTATTGATCATCTACGAGGTCAACTGGCTATGGCACGTGGAGCTGAACTCAACGCGAGAGCGGAGATAGGAGAGATGGAAGTGGGCATGAGAATGGAGATGTTTGTATGCCAGACTGAAGTCTCTGCTAGAGAAATAGCAGAAAAGAAGGCGAGCCACCATGAATACGAAGCAAACATCGCAAAGGAGGTTATCGCAAAAGGAGAAATATTCAACAACGAAGTCATAGAAAGTTCCATCCGTGAACGACAACAATTGAAAGACGTCAATCTCGCTCTATCCGAAGCCAACGCACAGCTGAAAAGAGAGAATATGATGAGAGCTCCTATGTTCGGCGATGATGGTGCTGAAATTCAACAGAAGATCGGAGAGCTGGAGAATGCACTATTGGAAAGCCAGAAGGAGACAAAGAATATCATTATGGAAAATGCGAAATTAAAGGCAGAAGCACGAATGGCACCCATAGTCTCTCGGTACAGCAAACGTCCTAGTTCCAGAGACCGCGGGTTACCAACCCACGCGTCCGAGGAAGATGAGGTTCGGAACGCAAAAGAGGAGGCGAAATACTACAAGGACGGGTACAATGAAATGACAGAGAGCCGAGATGAGATGTATGAATGGTATGCCGAGACCCACAATGAGTACGCCGAGGAAAGGGAGAAATCAATTGAGCTATCCGAGGCGAACAAATCATTGAGGGATAAGATCTCAGAAACAGAAGCATCCTCTTCATCTCATCTTGCACCGGCAACCTCTACAATCATGAAAGTATCGAGGAAGGAAGAATCGAAGATAAACGTTCCGTCATGGCCCAGGATCAATGATCTTGGACTATGGAAGGCAAATCTTATTCAATCGATCATCATTGCGGCCAATGATTCAGATCAAGAGCCCTGGATCGACTGGATCAAAGAAGCCATGGACGACCCTGATCCGGACAAGTTTGTCGACTCAGGAGACCAAAGATTCCATTCAATCGATGCTAAGCTCGGCCTAGCTCTTACCAAGGTCGTCATGGATGCGAAAGATGATGGTTCAGGTGTAGCTATGAAATTGAGGACGAGGATCAATGCAAAAGGGAGAACATCAAGCCTCATAAAGGGAAGAGAGGTCCTAGCCCTGATCCTCATGAATTTCAAGACAACATCAAATGTGGAAGTCTTATATACTTCAATGCACCTTTACCAACTAGAATATCAAGGAGACAAGAACTTATCGTTGTTCTTCCACACTTGGGATGAGATACTGGCAGGGATGAAACCCGTTGACGTCCCGAGCGACGAAACTCTTCGGGATCTCCTATGGAGAAAGATCAGGAACTCAAACCTCATGGCATACGACATCAGCGCCTACAATAGCATGAACGACGATGATGCCAAGAAGACATACCAACATCTACGTGATATGATCAGAAGGCACATCGAACGGCAAACTGAAGACAGGATGATCCTGGAAAAGGAGAAGGCAGTGAAGAATGTGGCTAATATCTTTCAGAATCTTAAGCCAGGCGGACCTGCTCCAAAACTGAAAGCTGCACCAGCTGATCCGAAGAAGAAACCAAAAGGGCAACAAGAACAGGTTGTCTCAGAAGACGCTGCTGCCGTGAAGCCGAAACCCAATCCCAAGAAGCATCCTGAAGACAAGAACAAAAAGGGAAAGGGGAAAGGTAAAGGGGAAGGAAAGGATCGCAGCCGAAGTCCGAGTGCAGATAAGAAGAAGATACCATGCAAATTCTTCGTGAAAGGTAACTGCACTATGGGGAAAGATTGCCCATTCAGTCACAAGAAACCCAGATCACCATCCAGAGGACCTTCTGTCGGAAAGAATGACAAGCCAGTATGTTGGATGTGGATTCGAGGAACTTGTGACAAAGGGAAGGATTGCAAGTTCTACCATGACCCAAAAGCCTCTCCTAAGAAAGGGATATCTGCACCAGCTGACTCAGGAGACGATAGGCCAAAGCCCAAGGCAAAGCCCAAACCGAAGCCCAAGGCGAAGCCTGGAGCTCCAGCCATTGACGGTGAACTCTTCATGGACGAATCCGAAGATGAAGGGATCGCTGCATCCGCCAAGGCAAGAGAAGGAGGTGCAAAAGTGTCCTTTGATGAAGAGACTTGTGAAATCATATTGAACGAAGCAATCTACTCAGTCAGGGACAAATGGAAGGTAGTAGAAAAGAAACCTCTACGTCCGGACATCAAACGATACGATGAGAAGGAACTCACCTGCTATACGAGGAAAGAACAAATCAGATTTGAAGAAAAGGTCGCAGAGGCAAGAGGCATATTGATGGTCCCCTACACTGAAATCAAGAGGATCCGAATACCAGTCGGACCAAAGGGTGACCTAGCGGTCACTATGTCTTTTGACGAAGATGACGGCCTAGTTTTCCATCATAAAGTCATTCCTCATGTATGCGAAGGAAAGAAGGATCATGCAGACACGAAGACATTGTCTATTCCAGCCAAAGGGTCGAGAACGAAGTTCATCATGGACACAGGATGTGGGTATGATTTGATATCGAAAGGCAGAGCCAAGAAATTAGGTCTGGAAGTGAGAGAAAGCGAACAATCAATGTCATTCTATACCGCAAATGGAGTGACATCCACAAATGGAGTCGCTGATATTCATTTCGACGAATTTGACTCTACCTACTCCCCATTCGTCCTAGATGAGTCTCCTTCAGTACTGTCTGTTGGAAAGAAATGCATGGAAGAAGGATACACATTCATATGGCCAGCCTGCGGCAACCCGTATATGGTTTCCCCGGACTACAAGAAGATCATGTTAGAAGTAGAGGGAAACATCCCATATATTGTCAAGGGCAGTGACTTTTGTACTCCCACCGACGATACAAGGGCGGAGATGATCGCAAGGTTCACCCTAGGAGAAGATGAAGCCGATTACCAATCGACTTTCATCAACTGTGATGTGGATCCTCAAGGAATCATGTGTGATAATGACGACCTTCCTGTGGTTGAACCTCCAAAAGTCAAAAGGCGAAAGAGGAATAAGAAGTTCAAGGCATCTCCTGGAGAAGAAGATGAGGTAGGATCAGATGTCGCCGGAGACAGTGAACCAGAAGCTGACGATGATGATGCAGATGACATCGAGGTGGATGTTGTTGACGGCGCAAGTAGAATGGTGAGAAGAGGAACTCTGAAAGCAGATGCCAGGAAAATCGAACATCTACTCACACATCGTTACAAGAATCCTTACTGTGAGTCATGCATCAGAGCAAAGATGAAACACTTCAAGACGCATCGAGGAGCGTTCAAGAGAAAGCTCAAAGCTTTTGGAGATCTGGTTACCTTTGATTTTGTCGATACGAGGAACATCCTTGATCAAGGGATCAGTACTGATCGAGAGATCTTCGTCATTCGTGACAGGTACACAGGCGTCATATGGGCCTATCCGTCGAAAGAGAAGTTCACCAAGGACGTGGTCAATGCAATAAACCACTTCAAAGGATTGAAGAAGATCAAGATTGCTTATGCCGACAAAGCCCCAGAGTTTGAGACGGCTATGAAGCAACTGAAGATCCCATTCGATCACTCTCTACCGAATCATCCTCAGAACAATTCTCTGGCGGAGAGGAACAATCAGTTCATTATGATGACAACCGCAACTTGTCTCTTGGAAGCGGGGTTACCACCATGTTTCTGGAGTTATGCAGTAGAATGCGTCAGCCATCTTTTGAACATTGAGGAAGGAGAGGATGGAGTGAGCCCTTGGTACAAGCTACATAGAAAAGAGTTCCATGGAGA